GGGAAATGCTGTGGCGATCGGCTACCGGATGTGGGATATACATAGAGAGAAGAATCAAGATACTCTAGCATCGTGAACTCAAAGGAGAAACTATAGGTATGCTAAAACTAGATAAATGGAATATCGCAGGCTCAAGAGTAAAGTAGGCATCCACTTTTGTGTTAATAAAAATGCTTTCTTTAAATTCATTTGTATTTTTGTTAAGAGTCGAGATCATATCTATCAATATATTTCTATCAATATATTAAGGTAGGAGATAATGTCAAATCATCTCATTTTTTGGTGAGATGGCCTAAAAATTCCCACATGTTTTTGATTGAATTTTGTTGTGAAAAAAGTAGTTAATGTCGGAATCATTGTCTGAGAATTGAGTTCTTTGTCAAAATTAAAAAGAAATTTTTTGAAATTAAAAATTGATAAAAATAAAAGAGTAGGGGAAAAAAAGAAACCACTTCAGTTTCAACTGGCATTGAACCATCTCTTCAACAAACTACAATGCCTTGTCTCTTACAATCTCTTCCGACAACCTTTTGCTTTCCCTATCCCAAAACTTCACAAGCCCTGCCTACGCCGAATAGCAGCGTCACGGCCGGCTCCGCTGCCACGAAAACCGCCACCAGCCACGGCAAAATCTCCAAAACATTCCGACGCATACAAGCGAGCACAACCTCAAATACCAAATTCAAAAGACAAGAAGATGATTACCAATCCACACTCGAAGCCCTTAACTCCAAAGGCCGCTTCCCACGAAAATCCCTCGGTCAGGTGAAGATATTTTCTCTGAATTAATTATTCAAATGGTTTGGTACTATTTTTAATGATAACTTAAAAATGAGTTTTTTAAATTTTTTTCTTGGTTGTTTAGCATTATATGTTGAACGCCTCGATAAATGAAGATCTAACCATGGCCGCCAATGTCAAAGAAGGGGATGTAGTGCTTGAAATTGGGCCAGGAACTGGCTCTTTGACTAATGCACTTGTGAATGCTGGTGCAACTGTTCTTGCAATTGAAAAGGTCTGATTTTTAGTTCTTTAATGCATTCTTTAACTTCAATTTGGTGTCAATTTGAAAAGGGGGTCTGTGATCTATTGAGCTATATAAAAAGAAATGAAGGTTGTAAGACTTACAGTGTCATAGTTGAATCATTGTAACCAAAACAACTTGAGAACTCTGTTGCAAGTATTTATGTAGGTGTGAATTAAAGGATTCATACCGTATTAGAAATAAATATGTTCAACTATGGCTACTGGCAAGAAGCATCCAAATTGTTGAAGTGACAATGCTTTTGTTTCTTTATTGGATAATTGTTGATTTTTTTACATTTATGATTTCTCTTATGACATGATTTTTCCATTTTGTGTATATTATCAGGATCCGTACATGGCAGCGATTGTGCGGGAACGGTTTTCTGGATTGGACAGGGTGGAGGTAAAATTATTGTTGTAAAGCATATTTCTTCCCTCTGTCTGAAAGTATGTGTGTGCTTTATTATCTTGAAGTTATTGCATGAGATATAAACTAAATAATCTATATAAGGCATAACCTAATAAGAATTTGAATATTTATCTCAAAGGGAAGAAATATTGCAGATGCTCATTGAATAAGGAATAAATATGTGGGTGTGATTTTCTACGTGGCTGTGCGAGGGTGCTTTTAATCTTTCATTATGAGATTAGTAATGTTTGATTATGTTGTGTGTGAATCTGTTGATGGTGTTTGCTTGTAATGGGAGTAGTAATTCCTAGTCTAATATTTTTATCAGTTCCATTATTGTAATAATACTTGAGGTAAACATAGATAGAGTTTTTTTAAAATAAATAAAATGTTGTATCTTCACACTATCAAATAAACTTTTCCAGTCACAAATAACAAATTCATGAAGTGCTACCTCTAATTGTAGTTTTATATGTGCCACTTTCCCTTTGCTATTCAGGGGGAAAAAAAAATCATAGTTCATGCTCTGTCATGGATAAATATCAGCTTGGGAGTCTGAACTAATAACTGCCTATGCTGTGTACACCTTGATGTATAAAATTTCTCATGAACCAATACCTACCTATGCTGTATGTGCCTTGATGTATAAAATTTCTTCATAAATAATTTTTTAGCTCCAGCAGAAGTATAGTTCCAGATATGTTATTTGTTAGAGGAATTCCTCTTTTATAAATGCTCCATCCAACACCCCCTCTTATTTCCATTTGTCAACGTTGATCCCAGTCACTGCTTTTTCTTTTTTTTTGGGAATATTCTCAAAATACAAAGGTACATGTTGGAGATAAATGAATTAATATGTTATTCAGGTTCAGTGCTGCTGCATTGAAAATTGAAAAGGTGTGATTTTCTCAATTCTACCTTGTAGGTTCTGGAAGAGGATTTTATAAGAAGTCATATACGCTCTCATATGTCCACAATGTTGGCAAGTAAAATCCCTCCAGACGGGAATTTACATGCAAAGGTGAGTTATGAATATATGAGTCATTTATCATGGTTTAATTTTGAAAGTATACAATAGTCAAAGTTGGGAGAAGAGGAGGTGGATATTGTACCTTCTTCACAATCACACATTTAAATTCTGCCACAGTTTTACTGAGCATTAACTCCTTTATACTAGTATGGGGAAAATTATTCATAGAATTGATAGTTATAGGAAGAATCTGAGGGTTGTTCGACTCCACCATCTGTGATCAATTAAAGGCTCCGGCTAATTTAGCATTTTAAAAGTCTCTGTGTAATTTAGGTAGGGAAAAATGTTATTCTGGCCATTTATGGACATTGAAGAAAATTTGTAGTTTATAATTACTGTTTTGCAATGTTTCGACATCCTTTGCAACCTAATGTACCTTCTTAACATTCATTTTGATAGAGCATGAAGACACTAAGTTCTGATTTTGCCAAATACAGATCTCTTTGGTTGAAGATTTAAATTTCTATTGGTTGCAATCATTCCACTTGTGACTTGTTGCATAGTTGAGATTCCCGATTCTCTTGTTATTTTCTGCTGAAGTATGCTAATTTCTGTAATGCAGTCCCTAAATTAAAGTCCAATTTACGAATACTGAAACATCGTCTATCTGCTTCCTATTCAAATAGCATGAAATATGTTATTTCTTCTGAAAATTTGCGTAGTGTTTTCCATAATAGAAATCCTAGGTGATATATTGTGTACTTTCTTGCAGGTGGTCTCCAATTTACCTTTCAACATAAGTACCGATGTTATAAAACTACTACTTCCCATGGGCGATATTTTCTCAGAAGTTGTTCTTTTGCTTCAGGTTTGCAATCTCTATTTAATAGTTTATAGCAGTAGGACTCCAATAACAAGAGTTATAGCGCAATGAAAATAATAACTATATGCTGTATTATGGGCATCCAAACAAATCGATTAATTGCACGGAACATTATGGTGGCTCATGTGTACCAAGTGTATACTTACAAAGAAATGGAGGCTTACTTATTTTAACTGGTGCTAGTTTCATATTTTAGGTTATTTAGTTTTCAAATAATGCTACAGAAAGGATTAGTTTCTTAATTGATCTGGAATATGTTTACGATGGGAATGGATATGGGGTTGAATTACAAATCTGTTGAACTCTCCTTTACCTTTCAAAAGGAATATAAGAAAAAATAATATATATATACGGATTTGATCTCTTAAGCACTGGTGCTTAATTTATACTAAGCACCATGCTTAGGTGGCAAATTACTATAGGTGGTGTAATTTCTTATCATTTCATGCAGCATTCTTCTCCTTCCAGTGGTGAATTTACCTTCAAATAAGTACGCTGAACACATTCAGTTAGCTCTTGACAGGCATGATGATAACTTATCTTTATATCCGGTTTAATATTTTTCAGGACGAAGCAGCCTTGCGCTTTGTGGATTCTTTATCGAAATCATCCGAGTATAGACCTATAAATATCTTCATCAACTTCTATTCAGGTGGTACAGATGTACATTCACCTTAAAAAGAAATATTTTAGAGATATATCATTCAGCCCTTGTTTGATTCCCATTTTGAGAGAAATAATGCATTTTGAATAGTAGATTGATGGATAATGTGTAGTTAAAAATTAAAGAAAAGTTTTGGATTTACGTGTAATATTATTTTATTGAAGAACGTGTGGTTGAAAATGAGTTTTGAAAAATGAATTTTTAGAAGAATGAGAATCAAACAAGGGCTCAAATCTTAATGACATCATAATTGGGGAAAATTTGTGTCAGGAGAATAATTTATAAAAATGGTAATGATGCTGAATCTTGGTGACGAAAATAAATTTTACTTTGGCCAATTGACCAAGAGGAGGCACTGACCATCTCAATTAAGTAAAGAGAATTGATAAAAAAGACATGGTGATAGTGGGGCCCATACGAAAGAAACAAACTTTTGTTCATTCAAGCAATTTACGTATCTAATAATTGTGTATTGGAGGCTTGGTCCTCAAGAACCTTGTGCATATCTTCAAGAGATGATGGAAATGTCCAGCAAGGAAAAATATGGAACAAAGAAAAAGAAACAGTTTCTTAAAGCTGGGAGTTAAACGGAGGAAATGAACTGCAAACCCAGGCTACCCAGCTGCCAGCCTAGAGTAGGCTCAGAGGCCATCTTGGTTTTCTCATTCCCAATTCTTCTTTGTTTCCCATCCCTGTTCTCTTCTTTTATCATCTCCGTTCACCTGTTGACCCATTTTTTGCTTCTAATTATGTTGTTATTATTGTATACAGTCCCTAAAACTACCTATATTGTTTCATAGTTAGTCGCAACTGATGGAAAGATTTTTAATGACTTAGAAGAAGCATACGGAGGGCTTTGAGGGAAACACAATGGTGGATGCTAGAGAAGAAAGAAATTTATATTATATATTGATATAATTAATGATGTGTATGATATAGCAGTCACGAGTATGAGATCCAGCGGAATCGCAGAATCTTTGATGTCATATTACAAAGCTTGTGTCAAAGTTTTGCTTTAATTCTGTATCTTCATGCTTTAGTCGTCTATTAGAATTGCACCTTGACCAGCTATGGGAATAACCTTTCTATGCTCTGGTTTATATATTAGAATCGCATTAAAAATATATTCCAGGATAATATAAATATGTTTTAGAGAATTGCACTTGACTGACTTTGGACTTTGCCATAAAAGATAGGTACCTTCCTGAATTTGCTTTCCTCCCACAGCTCAAACTTGATGCAAAGACCTTTTCGAAATTATCTGATAAAAGTCAGTCAAGACACAATTCTTGTGTCAAGGATTAGGCCCTTTTTACTACTGGTTCCGGTTTATGCATTAGAAATTTGTGCACATTAGTTTATATTCTTCACCGTTCCAACTTAACTGAAGGTAATATTCTTTATTCATGTGTGAATCTTATTTTATTTTCGTTTTTAACCTGAGACATTTCTTTGCCATTAACTTTTCAGATCCTGAATACAAATTTAAGGTTCCAAGAACAAATTTCTTCCCACAACCTAAAGTAAGCTATCAATTTATATCTTTACATTACATCCATGTTCCAATACAGATGCACACTGCATAAAATTTATGCATGTTCGTTCTATTGTATTTTGCTATAATATATTCTGTTCGTGTTTCTCTTTAGACTTGTTTATGAGCTTGATGCTGTCAAATGCTGAACTGGTCCTTTTCATTTTTCATTGTGTTTTCTGAACACCGACCTGGTTCTTTTTGTTCTTTGTCAGGTTGATGCAGCTGTTGTTGCGTTCAAGTTGAAGCAAATAACAGATTATCCTCAAGTGACCACCATCAAAAGCTTCTTCTCAATGGTTATTGCCTGTTATGTTTCAGTTTATATCACTTAATCGACATGTTGTGATGCCAATTCTGGAAACAGTTTGTATTGATTACTTGAGAACTACCAATTCTTTTGTCTACACAAACACAAACTAAACATGGAAAACAGAATTTCCTTGCTACCTTTTGGCAGAATTTTCTGAATCAAAATCAATTTTCGTACATATGATTATATTTGTTTGGTTCTGTCAACTTATCTGCAATCCGGTTTCAGGTCAATTCTGCATTCAATGGGAAACGTAAGATGTTGAGGAAATCTCTCCAGCATATATGTTCATCCCCTGAGATCGAAGCAGCTCTTTGTGGTGTTGGTCTTCCACCTACTGTAAGTGCCGGTTCTCATTTCATCTGCCTGATGGTTCAGTTTCTCTCTATATCTCAATATACCAGACTTTTTCATATTATCAATTCAGGCAAGACCAGAGGAGCTTACACTCGAGGATTTTGTAAAATTGCATAATCTGATTGTGAAGACCCCTTTTCTGGATCATTTAGAGTAGAATCTAACAGAGTCATCCTATATGCATCAATGACAAGGTGCTGGGCTGTGGGCAGTGCTGGACCAGTATGGAAGCGATGACATAATGACCACTTCACCAGGATTGAGCTTTCCGTTATGCAAAATGCAGAAACCAGCTATGAGTTTCAAGGTTCCCAAGTGTATATATTGTATGTAATGCTATCAAAATGTTGTAGGGACATTCCATGCTGTGCTCAATATTCTTCTGTCCTGTAATCTTTATTTTTCAATAATTCTTATGTAATGTGAATATGGAGTTGTTGCGCTTGTTAATCTAAACTACTTACTGCAAAATAAAATAAAATAATAAAATTGACACCCCAAGAACCTAATCGAATGTGCTACGAAATAAATCCCCAAGAAAGTTACTGCAATCGAGTATATTACAATAGTATGCGTATAACACAATAGTTTAAAGTTATAGTTTACAACATTTTGCTGTAAATCTTTCCTTATGTTATTTCCAGTATGAAATTTGGAAAATGCTACGCGTAAACAATAATGTACACGTAGCATTACACCCCACATGAAGGGGCCACACTCAATAAAATATTCATGAACCCCTCGTTTAATGAATGCATATACACCACGACCACAAGGTGTACACAGCATTTCCCGTGAAATTTTAGCCATGAAACTGATAAATAAGATCAAGAGACCTCAACTTGGTCGAATGAGGATCAAGATCCGCCGCCACAGTGCCACCTAACACATTACCATTGTCGTTGCTCTGGCGCTGCTCTGCTGAAGGCGAAAGTTGCCTCTTGGGCCTCTTGTTCTGAATAAGACACTCCCTCATCCTCTCCTCAACCTTATCGATAGCAGCAGCACTGGTGGAAGCCTTGGAACCCTGTTCAGCATCTTCATCGCCCATTTGCATGGGTTCACCACCAGTGTCACCGTTGTCGACACGGCCACCACCCAGGGCGGAGGGTACTGAGTTTTCCGGTTGCGATTGTAAGGCCGATGGATAGGGGTGGTGGCCGGAGAGGAAAAGAGAGAGGTGGCGGTGGGCAGAGTGGAGAGTGGTGTATATTTGCAGGATTTGATGAGGATCTGTGGTGGTCGAAAGTTGTTTCGCCATTAGGGTTGCCTGCTCTAGTGCTGCTACTAGTTCTTCTCCTGATGGTGCTGCCGTTTCTGTCTCCATCTCCATGATCTTCCTCCGTGTTTTGTGGGTACTTTACTGGGTAGCTTCAGATTCTTCGATTTGGGGACTTTGAGGTATTCTCCTCGAGGACTTTTATGTAATAATCTGTGTTGGGTTTGCAGTAAGATTTTGTACTTTGTAGCCCATTAGCCCATTAGCCTTCGAATTGGAAAAAAAATAAATTTTAAAGAATTTATACCCGATGCTATCAAAAATCATAACTGTTAATTTTCAAGTTTAATGACTGAGATTGACCATGAACTAGATCTTTCAGTACTTGAAACAAAGGTGTCGAGGAGTGTTCTCATTCTTTCGATGTTTAAGTCAGAAAAAGAATTTATGCATAAGACTATGAACTGAAAATAATGAAAAACGTATCTCAACAATGACAATTGATCATTTATTTACAGATGTTGGTGGAAAGGGACTCAACTATTAGTAGTCCTTATTCTTATCATGCAATACGTTGGCATGATAAGTAAATAATCAGGATAAAGATTATGGGGCATTATAATCAAAGTAGGACTAATGTCGTTTAGAAAGTGGAAGATAAAGATTACGCTAAAGGACTAGAGATGGCATTGGGTCGGGTTCGGGGCGGGGGCTTGCCTCGTTTGCTATTTTAATTTTTTTTTTTTTTATACATTTTCAAAATTTCGAGGTATGCTATTATTAGAGAATAAAATACAAATTCAAAATTTTAAAATACAAAGCAAATAATTTTAATTTCTTTTGTAAATAATTTTTATAAAATCCTTTTGTAGTTAATTTTTTTCCTTCTTCATGGGGCAGGTTCGGGTAAGCAACTTACACCCCGTCCCCTGCCTTGCCAACTCGTCGATGGGGCGGGTTTTTTTGCCATCTCTATAAAAGACACACGGCCGACCTTGACGTAGAGATCCGACCTTAATGTTGGGGTAATCGTCGAAGTCTAAGATCGTGCCACTGAGTTCGAGCTCGAGTGAAGAAATTTTCATGAACATCACAGGCCCCCGTGCATCCATAGCGCAGCTTGCGGTTGCGTGCTCAAGTTGTGAGGCGAGATGCAAGGAGGTGCAACAACCCGAGGTCGAATTCCATCGTTGGTTGCAAGTTAAACGAATGTATGACACGTTTTAGACACGCGTTGGGCTGTAAGGCTCGATCTTAGATGATGGCCACGTGTTATAATTCAAAAGCTGAGATTGGACAATCTGGCCAAGGCGCGAGCTTGGGCAATAGAGGATTTCAAGAAGTCAGATAAGTTTGGGACGCTCCTAGGGCAGTACGGGTCGTTTCTGTGTGATGTAGACTATTCGATTCAAGCTGGTATTCTTCCATATTGTGAGAGATCAAGGTCAAGTAATGAGACCCGAATTGATGTGTATTTGAGCTCGGCCTTAAGCTGAATTTATGTGTTTTAGTTGCATGCACGAGGTACGACCTTAGACTAAGTTGATGTTTTAGTTGTATGCACCAGGCACAACCTTATACTAAGGTGATGTTTTAGCTGCATGAACGGGCCCGGTCTTATGCTAAATTAGATGTTTTAGCTACATGCACGGGGGTCCGGCCTTACGCTAACTTAGATGTTTTAGCTGCATGCATGGGGCATGGCCCTTATGCTAAGTTGATGTTTTAACTGTATGCATAAGGTATGACCTTACACTAAATTATATGTTTTAGTTACATGCACGGGGTGCGACCTTACGATAAGTTGATGTTTTAGCTGCATGCACACCTTATGCTTAATTATACTAAATTTATGTATTTTAGCTGCATGTTTGAGATACGGCCTTATGTTAAATTAGATGTTTTAGCTGCACGTTCGAGATACGACCTTACACTAAATTAATGTTTTCAACTGCATGCACGGGACATGACCTTACGTTAAGTTGATATTTTAGTTGCATGCACGGGGCACGACCTTAAGCTAAATTAGATGTTTTAGCTGCATGTTCGGAGCACCGCCTTATACTAAATTTATATGTTTGCGCAGGATAATACTTTAGCTTCTAAAAATGAGAAATCTAAGAACTATAGATCGCCTTCAATAATGAGAAAACCATGAGCTAAAGCTCATCTTCGATAAATAAGAAAATCAAGAGCTAAAGCTCGCCTTCGATAAATAAGAAAAAACCACGAGCTAAATCTTGCCTTCAGAGATGCGAAGTCCAACAAGCTAGTCCCAAACATGCAACATCTTAGAGCTTGTCTCGAATAATATAGAAGATGATCGAAATGGCCTTAAATAAGAGAGATCCGAGCATGAAATTTTTTTAAATATTTGGCATGCATTGTAATATCCTTGCAACTTTTCTCCCATCAAGTGATATTTTTTACATTCAACAAATACATAAAGAAGGCAGTTGTAGAACATTTACATAGTTCCCTGTTCTAATCTTTGCCAATTTGGAAAATTATTTGAACCACCACATAAATCAAATGGTATATTGTTTAAAGCTAGCAGGTAGTAAAAGAATTTAGCTTCACAGAAATCTTGCTATGACATTAGCTTTGCATTGTATTTTAAAAAAATTCCAGCAGCAAGGTGGTAATCAAACTAGCCAATAGTGAATACCCAATGGAATCAATATCGAGGACCCAGTAACGACAAACAGATGTTTATTTGGTGCTAAAATATTTTGCAAGTCAATAGTGGATAAATAAATGGAACTTGATTAGTTTAAAATGAAGGCATGCATGGCCACTAAATCATTGTGAAAGGAATTTCTTTCCATCAAGTTTCAAGTTCTCTTACTTTCAAAGAAATACTCGCAAGAGAAATACCTGAAACAGAAGCAGTAGTGAAAGAATAATTTATAGCCAAATAGGACTAGTGTTAGCCCATATAAAAAGCCAGGAGACCCAATCATTTTAAACAAGCTGAGAAGTTGCAGGCCCAAAAAAATAAATCTCTAGTCCAACTCAGAATATGCTACCAGTTTGCTCTAGTGTAATTTTCCCCTTTTTATTTCACTTATCCTCTGGACCTCAGCACGTGGGCTGCAAAGTGGAACGAAGGGCAGTCCAAATGCAAGATGCTAAATTATTAGGCCCAATAAGAAAGATTTATTTAAGGGGCGGCCCAATAAAGATGAGCACGTGCCAACAAATATAAGTAGGGAGAAAATCACGACTCGGGGGTATAGTATACCCCAAATCAAATACTAGGCATAATGTTTTAAAATTCAAATGTCATTTCCTACAATTAAGCTCGTTTACCTTTTATAATAGGACTCTAAATGCTATAAATTAGTAAAATCTGTCGGATTTCATTATTCACGACATCGCAATTGATGGTGTCGATTGATTTTACTAAAAATTGGTCAATTTCATTTTGCTCTCGGGTCATAGGGATCGGGGTCGATTTCATAAAAAACAAATAATTGCTGAAGAAGACAATTCAGGAAATAATCTGATTGTTCTGTTCATCGATTCGAATGTCACATTCACAAACTAAATTTCATAACACGAATTGGTCCTAAATTCACCATTGTAGGGGAAAAGAAATCTTTGCTGACAACGAAAGTGCTGATCATCTCTGGCTAATATAATACAGGTAATAACGTATTTTGCTGCGGTCACAACTTGAATTCAATAATCAAGAGATTAATGTCGTTCATCAGAGAATTAGTATAACATCTAAGTTATGGGTCACAGCTGCTCATATTGTCGTTAGCTGGTTTCTTGTTACAAGTTGCTATTTAGCAGAATCACAGTAGACGCTTGTGACACATGCGTGAACTGTGTGTAAATGTGACCTGATTTTGTGAAATTGTAACCTCTCTGCTGTGACATGTGAAATGTTTCACCGACTATTTGCCATGTATTTAGAATAAAACATTTCGTTATTCACTTCGAGTATATGTGACCTCTGTATAACACTGTAGTCTGAATGATAGCTATCAGTGACGTGATGTAGGAAAAGTCATATGTGACATGATTTGTGGCTCTATAACCTTAATTGTTAACACGTGACCTGCTTTGTGGAACTGTGACCTGAATTGTGAAACTGTAACCTCTCTGATGTGACATGTGACATGTTTCACCCACTATATGTCATATATGTAGCATCAAACATTTCGTTATTCCTTTTGAGCATATGTGACCTCCCCGTTAACTTTGTTGCCAGAATGATAACGATCTGTGACCCAACATGTGATTGTCTTATCAAGAATTATCTGTAACCTTGTTTGCTAATTTGTGACCTGCTTTGTGAGTCTGTGATCTGATTTGCAAAATTGTGACCTCTCTGTTGTGCCGTGTAACATGTGACATGTTTCACCAATGATGACATTATTGATATTGATTTTAATTTGCAGATGGTGCACTTGCACGTATATTTATTGTATGGATTGCAATCCTCATTGGCATTTGTAGCTCGCAACTGCAGTTGTTTAACCCTTGTGGACACGGTTATGACAAGATTTGGTCTAGATCCTATGAAGGTAGCAGTGTCATTGAAGTACGCACTGAACGAAGATTTACCTCCCATCAAGATAAAAAAAAATGACGATAATGTGCTATCATACATTCTGCTGAAAGATATGGAGGGTGAACCTGTTAAATATTCGTTAATCATTGACGTCGCTAAGGTAAAGATCGTCCAAAGAAGGGAGACCGACGGTAAAATGTGAACGATGTGGAGGACATTGTCACAACTGTAGAAGATGCTCCAGTTTGGCTCCATCGCGCTAAAATGACCGAGAGAATAACAAAAAATATTACATAGATATATGATATTCTTTTGAGAATAATGTTCACTTAAAATAGTCTATTTGAAGAATGCATTCAGATTGATCAACTAATTAATTCTCTGTAAACTTTGGAGTCAGAATAGTAATTCTCTAAGATTTGAAACACATTTGTAACCTGATACAAAATCTATGACTTGTGTGTTGTAACGTGTGACAGACTAACTGTGAATATGTAACTTGCTTAACAAACTAACTGTGAACCTTCTGTCAACTATGTAGTCTGATTCATAACTGTCTGAGAACAGAGGTGTGACCTGAAATGAAAATATGTGACTTGAAGTGTGGACACATACGGGTAACCTGATTCCTAAATCTGTGACCCATATGCTGTGACATGTGACATGTCGTATGAAAGGTTATATGTGACCTGATTTGTGAATCTATGACTTGGT